ATATATATAGTTAATGTTGGTATTTATTTAAATATTGTTAACTGTATTTTATTTCTCTTTGGCACTCTTGGTTTGAAGTTTAGCACTAATGATGCTACATTCATTGCTTGTAAGAGGTTATAGTTTTTAATTTAATTCAGGATAAACTGTATAAAAATTGAAGTTTTAGACTTAAAAACTATTTTAGTGGTTTTAAGATTAGAGGGAACCTAATTTTGCAGAAGCTAGTGGGTTTGCTAATGGTTTCCAAAGTTAGCAAAAACACTAACCCATTAAGAGAAGCTAGTATGGAACTGTCCCTACCAGTGATTATCAAGTTTGGAGATATACATTGTAGAAAATATATAGATATTAGGAAGTTAATCCTGTTTTCACTCACGATAGGAACACAGAAACATGGTGAAAACAGATTTAGGAGGCTAATAARTAGCACATTTACATGGTTTTGTTCTAGGATTAAATATATTTAAAATAAATACATTCATCCACTTATTTTAGATAGGCATTGATAAACTGATAATTCTCCAAAATTCAGATTTACATGAGCAACTTATATTTTGTTCAGTTTATTTTAKAAACAAGTTGGTATTCATTGGACCCTCATTGCTTCACTGGATTTCCTGTTTTTGTCTTCCTACTTTAATCTGTTTTAAGTTATGAAAAACATCTTTTTCACAGCAGACATTTTGACTGGATTAAGAGCAAAGATGACACTCCCATCAGGAGCAATTTTATTAACATATGTATGGATAGTAATGTAAGGGTTTATGAAATGGCATTTACATGAAGCGCTGACATTTTAGTTTTAAGATTCACTTCAGCCACTCAAATCGTTCAGAATTAGAGTGCACTACAACAAGCAATATCTTAATTGTTCATGTTTTAGACAACACCCCTTAAGTGTGCAGCAAATTTGATTTTGCTTGTATTCTCCAAGTATAATGTTGAAATGCCAACATTTTAGGATTTAGACATGTAAATATTGTGTGGTTGTTGTCACGGTACAAAGTGTCTAAGGGTTGGATTCTTCATGAACTCCACCTGGGAGTAGAAGTTCATAAACCTGATTTTACATGATGTGATTACATGGTCATGTAATTAACATGCACCGTGTCCGTGTGCTGTCAGTTCTTGTTGCTCCCTCTGTTCTAAAGATTTGAATTGAAATTGTTCAGTGAACCTGTAACTTTATGCTGTGCTGTTTTAAATTATACTTAAAGACTCAAAAACAAAACGCACCTCTTCATTTCAGCCAACAACAGGAGCTTCCAATCAAAACAAGTGAGATTTGCAAACATCATTTATTAATTAGCATTTAAAGTATCGACATTGCACATAATCCCCTCCGAACAAAAACAAAACACAAATAAAACTCAGGAAATAAAGTTCCTCCATGACTTCACCCAAAGCTGGGGAGATGGAGATTAGAGCGTTTCAGATAGACTTAGGTGGTACCAGAACTAAACTGACTCCCATGATGCACCACCAAATGTACACCTGCTTGGGTTCCCCCTTAAATTAAAACATGCTAAAAAAAATTCAAGGCTGGTTTCCTTTAAACTACTTGATGAACCCCGTTTGATCAATTAAAGAAAAATATTCCTTTAGGAGGGGTTTGAAGAACTACTACCAAGCAGATAGTTTCTTTCCCACTTTTTTCTCTTTTTAAAGATTTCTAACTTTTTTTTAAATGTACACTCAAGAATCTCCTCACCCTGCTCCGCTCTACAGAGTCTACACAGGGTGATGTGAGACGGGGTCAGAGGTGACAGCGAGACCATGATGGGAGAGTGCAGGAGGGGAAAGCAGTGCTGTGTTGKGAAAGAGGTTCAGGTCTCTAAAGCGTAGGACCTACAAAAAAACAAAAGGAGGCACAGGGATTGAAAAAAATAAATTTCTGAAGCATCAGTTAGACTGGTCTGAAATCCTGGTTTCCAGTTTGAGAAAAACAAAACTCTTAATCAAAAAAAAAAAAAAAACAAACATAAGAAATGTCTTTAAAGACTCTAAAAATCCTTTTTCCATCCCTTTAATGCCATCATTCCACCTTAAACTCGTTTAATGTCCGTCACACGGCCCCTCGGAGAGACAGCCGACCCCAATCCGTCCTGGGTTGTTCCACGCTGGAGTGGGGCTCCACTTCCTGCCTGGGGTCATGTGACCATCATCCTGGACGTTACTCGGCTGGTGCTTGGACTGCTGGAGCAGCGGCCTGCTGAAAGAAACATGAAGGTTGTTCTAATGAAAGTAAACAAAGAAATATGAGAGGAGCACGTTACCTCTGGTGATTTTGGCACTTTAGGAGAGATTTTAGGAGACGACTTTGGAGATTTGGAYGTTGACTTCATCTCTGTTGGTTTTGAGGTCTGAGGTGGGGTACCAGGCTCTGATGCTGACTTCTCTGTATCATTCTGTTTGACAGATGAAACCACGCGTTCATTTAAGTTCCATAYACGGCACAAAAAGTARGGAAAYTAGTGTTCGGTAGATTACATTTCTTCATTGTAACAAAGCTTTTTGGTGAYAAATCTTAAACTGAGCACCTGGGGGTACCAGACGCTCAGACAACAGTCCAACAGCTGTTTGGCAGAGAAGATTTCGAACGTTTTTCATTTGTGAAACTCATACTCAGCTCTACTGCCTGGGACTTTGATAAAATTTTCAAACTTATTTT